AGCTCCACTTTATACCAACTTTTAGCTGCATAAAAGAGATGGTTTTATGAGTAAAAACAAATCCTGTCTCTATTTAGTGAAATGGCAGACTGTTGAATTGATTATGAGAACATTTTAATGCATATTTTTTGCCATCTTGGAAATATGGCAAAGTTCATTGAGCAAGCTCTCTGTCTCAGAAAATAGAATAAAATCAGTTTTCAAAGGTTGAAATAATGTTTGTTTCACTCAACTGAAAATGTGTGATTACATATAATTTACTGTATTCAACAAGTCATAACAAAACACATTTGAACAACCAAATATCTCCAACAATGACAATGAGGAAAGCAAAAATACCTTTAGTGTACATTTAAAATAATTAGTTTTGTTCTAGTTGTACTTTTTAGCAGTACAAATGCCAAAATAGTGACCAGTCCCGGCATTTTGGATGTCGAAGTTACGACACAGAGGCGTACTGTCCCAATTCTCACATTTTTGCACGCTTGTAAACTTGTGCACTCGAACCCTTATGTGCACTTGACTGAATCCACACTTCACAGAGGGGCGTAGGGTGCGCACTGAGCATTGGAACCGTGCCATGTATGAAACGTCATGCATCCCATGTAACCTTGCGGTCAGTTAGCTGCACCTTAACTGTTAAGTCTGAAACACATATATGCTTTATATAAGCACCAAGGTACAACAAGGTAAGAGCCAGTAACGGTAAACTTTCAATATACATGCATAGATATACATCTGCGCTAAAACGTGGCAGGTGTTTGACCTGTAGTCGCTAATGCGTAGCTAAAGATTCGGTAGTTTAAAGACTGTCATTCCTTTCACTGACGCTTTAATTCGAACTAGCGTTACAATAATGTTGATGAGAAAAGTTGGAATGAAACGCTTTTTAACATTTTTGAGGATGTTAAACTTAATATTTCAGGAACAACGTCGAAAAGATACACATGGTAACTCAGCATGCTAAAACCGAAAAGTGAATGAAACAGCTGCTCGGCTAACGCTGCTGTAGCTTATAGCTATCTACGTAAATTAAAACAAAAAGTTAAAACTCCTGGGTTAGTGACACATACAAGTCAAAGTGGCTTAAGCTACACATTTTAAGTGAGAATTGGAAGATATTACACAAAGTGGTTTAAGTGTACTTTCTCATTGCTCACAAATAAGGACAAATTGATGCGTTGTGATTGGTGTGTCCTTTTTTGCTTGATTTATTTAATTTTTCTAAATGGTATGGCCTACTTTTTGCCTCAAACAACAACAACAACAAAAACACTTATTAAATACAGGCTCACTTTGCTGCTGGAAGCTTCATTTGTTTTGACCTCCACAGATTTAGTCAACTTTTTGCAGATGAGTTTATTTGAATGAATCTCATTTGTTCAAACGTTATTTCCCAGAAATTGCTCACTTCAGGAGCTCAGAGGTTTGGTTAGTTGTGCATCAACTTCCTGTTTTACCTGCAGATCCACCATGACTTCTCGAGCCGGTCCCAGAGCGTCAGGTACCGACGGCAGTGACTTCCAGCACAGGGAGCGAGTTGCTTCCCACTACCAGATGAGGTCAGGGCAGTCTCTTCAACCCCTCTCCCCCATCTCATTTATTGTACAGTTAACTTGGTTTGTTCCAAGCCTTGTATTTTTCTTTTTTGATTCAGTGTTGCCTTGAAGTCTGAAATCCGTAAACTGAACATTGTCCATGTACTGATCTGGGTGCTGATGGCTGCTCAGGTGAGAACAAACATTAGAGGATGCCTTATTTCCTAGCAGGCAGAGTCTCACTGTGTTCTGATGTGTCCAGGTAACTGTAAGCCAGCTGAGTCTGGTGTCTCACAAGGTAGTCGCCTCTCCGTATCAGTGGGAGTACCCCTACCTTCTGAGCATAGTCCCCACTGTCTTCAGCTTCCTGGCGTTGCCGCGTAACAACATCAGCTACTTGGTGATCTCCATGATCAGTGCCGGGCTCTTCTGCGTGGCGCCGCTCATCTACGGTGGCATGGAGATGTTCCCCGTGGCTCAGCAGCTGTACCGGCACGGCAAGGCTTACCGCTTCATCTTTGGCTTTTCGGCCGTGTCCGTGATGTACCTCGTCATCATAATTTCTGTGCAGGTGCACGCCTGGCAGATTTACTACAGCAAGAAGCTGCTGGACCAGTGGTTTACCACCACACAGGACAAGAAGAAGAAATAACTTCAGCTCTGCTGGCTGAGGAGACTTTGAGACACTCTTGTTCAGCATCATTTTCTACATTTTTGACGATTTAATTATGCTTATAAAAATCATTGGACAGTTTGATTACTGCTTTCCCCTCCCTGAATTAGTTTTTATGTCATTTCAATGATAAAAAAAAACTGAGAACAAGTGTTTTTGTTTGAGTCTTGTTATTTTGGGTAAAACTGGATAGAAACACAGGGGAGAAAAATGTTTATTTGCATTTTACATCACCTTGCAGCCATAGAAGATCAATTCTTATTCACTGCAAAATAAAAACCACCATATTTCCCACATCCAGTGACTTGATTCAAATTTGACCAAAACCCACAAACGTTAAGTACAGATAATATTCTAAAGTTTATAATAAAATGACACCGCCACCAATATCACAAACCTGTAAATAAACCACAAACTCCCCACCACCAAAATCCTATACTAATCCTATGCAAATTAAAATTTATTTTTCCATTTTAAATTATGAGAATAAAGTCATATATTGAGGAAAAAAGTCCTTAAGAAAAAAGACTTCATTAGAGTTAACAAGATCTGACTGGACCAGCTTGGCAAGTCTGTAGTTCTTTCTCTGAAATGGGAACAATTGATTCAAAGTCCTGTTACTGACCATTTGATAATGTGTTAAAAGATTAAGTTGTTCCTTATTTGTAAAACCAATTCAAAGGAATATAACTTCAATAGCTCTTTTTTTCATGGAAGAGTTCTCAAAATTGCTTAATTCTTCTAATATGACTTTATTCCCTTATTTCTGTTATACTACTACTTATAACTTTATAAATGGTTATTAGCTTGGCTTTAGTTCTCTGCAAAATCCCAACAATCAAAATGTTTAAAAAAAATAAAAATAAATAGGGTCTGTTCTACAAAGTGGGATTAACAATTAGATCACAATCTAACAAATCTTAATCCAAAAAAAAAAAAAAAAACTGGAGCAGGACCTGCTGTAGATATAAAATGGCATGTTGGGGCAACATGTAGGGGATACCATTCATTAATTTCCCCACCCACTGTTAGTCCTGTATTGGATTTTAGAGTCGTGGCATGTAAAACGGACTAAAGGAGCAAATTTATAAAATAATTAGGGATGCACCAATTGCAGTTTTCTGGCCGATTACCGATCTTTTAAAAAGCTTAACCTGCTAACTCCGATTTTGGCTGATAGTATTTTTTCTTGTCTGAAGTGTTGCTCAGTATAGCAAGAAAGTTGTTGAGTTGGTAACAACGGGGTCACTATTGTTAATTATAAACTTGCAGACATAACTTGGTGGGCCAGTCTGTCAGTTAAACCTTTCTCACTGGAGAGCAAAAGAGGACAGGCGTTGATTCTTAGACCTTTGCCAAGCTAGATAAGATCAGCTTCATATGTAAAAATTGACCGATCACCGATGTTCCAAAATTAAGGAAATCGTCACCGATAAATCGGTGCACCTCTAATAAAAGACTAAAGTTTGGGCTCTAGAACAAAAAATTCAATCTCATACAATGTGTGGCTATAGCTAAGAGCTAAATATGACAAAGGGATCCTGGTTTAGATTTCCAGCAGAAGTTTCACTGCCGTAAATGGAGTCAACGTCTGGACACCCATAGATGAACTTTAGCTAACCCACTTCATAGTACAGACCCCCCCCAATAGGTCTACACATTACATAGTAACGAACGCATGGGAGTGTTTCACTGAAACAACAATCATCTGCCTTTTCTGGGCAAATTTCCAATATGATAAAGCTGACTGTCTGACTGACAGTGTTCTGGAGTTTTACTTAAACCTGACCGTACTTTCCCTTCAGGATCTGTCGCACCTGCAAAACACAAGAGAACAAATGGGAGAGTTACTGTCTCAGTCATGAAGAGGACAGGACAATTACAGGATAATTTACTAAGAAAAAGCCACACATTTATCACTGTAAGGGTTCTTTTTTTTATCTGTCCTTAGTATACACAAAGTATTTCTACAAACTACAAAAATAATAAGACAGAATAGCCTTTTCTTTTATTGTAAGAGTGTTTGTGTTGTGGCGTCAATCTGAAAGATTTGGGCTTCCTTTCAGGTGTTTACCTTTTCACCAACCGATCCTTCAGGCACCAGCTGACACGGCAGCTCATTTTCAAAATTCCTCATTCCGGAATCGGCACCCTTCCTCATCAGCAGCTTCACGGCCTCCACCTGATTTCTGTAATTTTGCAGAGAGCTGACGATGTGCAGAGCCGTGTTTCCGCTGAAAGTCTGACACAAAGAAGAAAATTCTCACCAAGGAACACGAAGAAAATACATAATTTTATGACTGGTATTTGGAGAACTTTATATTCCTTTACTTTATGCTTACCTTTACATTTACAACAGCAAGAGACATTGGCTGTTCAAGAAAAAGGTGAAGCAGCTCAATATTTGCCTCCTCGGCAGCCATGTGAAGGCAAGTCCTTCCACTTTTCAGATCCTTCAGGCATAAAGAAAGTAGATTTAGCTGCTACTAAAATGTTTCTACATCATTACAGTAGAGTGCTGGAATATTTTTGTCCTTTTGACCCCCAAGACAACACAAAGGTTAAAAGAAAGAATAAATGGGTCCTAGTCAAAATCCCAACAATTACTTTAAATAGTTCAGAACCCTTCAATTCCAAAACAAGAACGCAAAGAAGAGTCAACAGATTTCTCAACAGTGCCATGACGACTCATCAGCAGTCGTGACCTCCGAGTTATCTTTAGACATTAAAATTTAGGTGTGACAAAACAAAACTCATAAATCTGACGGGTCGTGTAACAGCCAACATCTGCAATACTTACTTTTGTCCCGTAGGAGGCGCCCATGTGCATTAAAGTCCTTACGCACTCCACAAACCTGCGCCTCCTGTGCGCCAGCTCTGAGATCATGAATGGACAAGGGTTTTCCAGGTGTCTCACTTCCTTAACGACAGCGTTGTGAGACAAAACCGCGGCGTGAAGTGGAGTTAAACCTTCAAGACATGACAGATTCAGTCATATTTCAGAATACCTCAAAGCCCTGAAAATATACAGTAGATTAATATTCTTACCGTCATAGTTAAACATTTCAACATCTATTGATGGGCCACGCCCTGCCAGGGTTTTACAGATGCTCTGTGGACACGAAGTTTATTAGCATTGTTTTTTTTTACATCAGCAGTCAAAGGTCTTTTATTCACAGAGTTCAGTTAGAAATTAACTAAGAGTTCGTCTCAACGTCACAGAGCTGCTGTGGACGGTTTTGCATTTTCTACTCAAGCCGGGTTTCCTTGTAGCGGCTTGTCAACAGTTGCATGCAGATCTAAATCAGGTGTTGCACAAACAGATCTGACGAAAGATAATCTAATGTTACTTTGTTTAGGCTGTTTATAGTCCAGTCATCTGTGGACGGACGTGTCCTCAACACGTTCCAGTCTCGACAACATCTGGAAATCTGATTGAACACCATGAAAACAAGAGGTGAATCCCTCTCGCTCTTCATTTTTAATATTTACAGTTTGAATTATAATCGTTGGCTGATTAATTTGGGATATAAATACGATGTAATAGGGGCCCCATTTCTGTCTGTTAAAGTTGTGAGTTGTTGGTTTTGGTAATTTGTCATTTCTCTTCTTTTTAAATTGATTAAAGAATTAGTTTTGGGATTTTTATTTGTTCCAACAGATTTATTTCCCTGCTGAATTAAATACAAGACTGAATGTTCAGTGTTAAATTTCCTAAAATGTGTTACAATCCAGAGTTCATTAACTTGGACTGTTATGCCTGTTTACATGAACTTTGGACTGCAATATCGTGTCACAACCTGAACTGAATGCTTACTAACTAGCTCAAACATGTGTACACTGTCAAACCTTCACCTAAGGTTTTCTTTTGTCAAATTTATAGTACTATTAAAGCTTTTTGTCATTTAGGTTGAGGAAAAAATAACGTTACATGAAGAGACAAGAGTTATTTCTACATATTCCCCCAGCCCTGCTGTCATGGTGATAGTCCATGCAGCGTTCAGGTGTCATCAGAGGTAAACGGCTCAGATTTGCATGATGAGACAGCAGCCAAAACAAGCAGGTTTCTGTGTATTGTGCTCTTATTTCCTGATTATTCAGTCCCACAGCCATGGGCTCCATCTTCGCACGAAGGTTCCACGTTCTACTCTGTCTCAGTCAAGCCAAAACATAATTGCAGATGTAGGTGGAGAAAATTCCTTCTGATTGCTACATAAAATCTCCAAGTTTACTTCTGGTACATTTTAACGAGTGGGATTAGTCAAAATCTATTTTTCTTTAAAAAGCAATGCAATTATCAGTTTATTCAATTGATTGAACTACTAAAGAAGAACCGTTTTACCTGAAGGCTGAGATAGTGGCCTTTCTCTGCGCACACATGCAGAGGAGAGCGCCCCCACAGGTCCCTGATGTTGATCTGCGCTCCGTGACTTAGAAGATCAGAAATGATCAGATGTTGATTGGTGGCTACTGCGATCTGGAGAGCCGTCTGAGCAACAAGAACACAACATTATCCCTGCTTCGTTTGATAGGTATATGAATAAATGACGTTGTGACGGCAGCCATACCTGCCCGTTGTGTTCTTTCACGTCCAGGGAGCCATACCTAGCCATTTTCGCAGCGAGTACATAAGAGAGGGCTCGCCTGCCTTGAGCCACCGCTATGTGAAGGAATCTACAATGGAAACAGTTAAGAGTTTACCAAAAGGACATGGGATGACAGACTTTCATATTTGATAGTAGATTTAAAAAATGTGTGTTTTCAGCTTCACCTAATTTTCCTTAAATCAACCTTGGATTTAATCTGAAAACATCCTTGAGTTTATGATATTTTTTGTAGCAATGTCATTTTGGCTGCTTCAATTAAAGAATCTGTAAAATTTGAAGGGCCCAGCCACACGGAAGTTAGGTTTGGGATTCCCCAAGGTAGCCGCCAAGGCCCACTGATGCTGTTTGTCATTCTTTCTTGTTTGATTTGTTTTAGGCATGTCTGGAGACAAGTTTAAAGCACCGTGCTCTTGTAAGTGTCAGGTTGATAAGGACTTGGACTAGATCCATATTGTTGTTCCTGGTTATGAATTATGGCAGCTGAAGAAAGCTATTCTAAAAAGCATTTCCTGATTCAACAAATAATTCTCAAGCATAAATGCGATCTTTGAACAGTAACTAATGCTACAACAACATATTTAATACATTCTACAATAAACTTTAGCACAAACCACAGAAAAAGCTTTAGCAAAAGATTGTTATATTAATTTGTTTTGATGATAATTTATACATACGTGTCACCATCCGAGTCCTGCATGCAGAGCTGCTCTGGAGACAGGCCTTCAGCCTTCTTGGCCTCTTGTTGTATCTGCCAGTGAAACAGAGTCATCTTCACTCCAGAGGCTGGGACATCGTGTTCCTGAGCAGGAAGCTGCACAGGCATTTCCTGCAGCCCCATGACGGCATTCTCTGGGAGATCTGGGATGAAGCAGGTGGTGGAGTTCAGGTGGAGAGATGTTGGAGAAGTTGCCATTTGAGGACTCATGTCTGCGGCGATAGGTTCGTATTTGGGAGACTTCAATTTAGGCTCCAAGTTCCATTTCTGCTCCGAATTCCATTTCTGAAAGAAAACCAGACCTAAGTTGTCATAAACTCATAAAAGATTGAGCCTGTGGAAATAGAAAGTATGCAGTCAGAAACACACCCTTTAAATCTGCATAACTATCTGGAGAAATTGTACTATGTTCCTACTTCCTTCAGCTGTTCTTCCTCATACATTAGCAACTTAAATGTTTCCTTATAGCTAAAGTAAGATTAGACAGCCGTATAATGAAGTCATGCAACTAACCTGGCGTCTCATTATTAGCAGCTCCTTTACGGTGGTCTTCCTATGCAGATGCTGGAGGGGTGCTTGTGGTTTAGCGTCAAATATCATGCAACCTGAAAAATAATAAATAAGGTATAACAGTTAAACACTGGTTGCAAGAATGAAGATACTTTCATTTTATTTTAAACTTTTATTTAATACTATTTTCCATCATATGTCGAATAAGACAATATCAGAAAAACAGAGATTCTTTTCAGACACAAAACATCTGGGAAGTGGTCTAATCTTTTTGTTTTATATATAGAAATTACACAACAAGTTGTTAACTATTCATAATTATCAGCACGCTTCCTTTGTACTAATTCTTCCTCTGACCCAATGGTGTTCACCAGGGTTCTACACTTGGATTACTATTATTCTACATTCTTAATGGCTGAAGCTCGAGGAATTAGGACTCCTACTGTTATAATTCAACATGACAGTCATTATATAGGTCCAAAGTTTTGCTTTGCCTTTAAAATGCTCCCATTTGTCACACTGACTGATGTAACTCACTTGACTTTCTATTTGTCATTGTTGTTTCAGTTGGTACCAGGAATGTTTCACTCATGTAAAGCAGAGGTTACTGACCTTTGGTTTTCCTCATATTATACAGCCTTTAACCAAGGTCAGATCTTCTTTTTATTAATTAATGGTTTTGCTAATTAATAGTGGAGACCTAGTTTGACTATGTCTGATTATGTCTCAAATGATTAACCTACAATCAATATGCGACAATTTCTGTATTGAACTTTTACTCCCAAACAGCTTGATTAATAATTACATGAGTTAATCGCTGACATCTCCCTGACCCTTAACAGCCTAACTAGGACCTTTAGCTACTTTGACCAGCTGATCAAAGTAGCTAAAGTAGTGTTGCTCATTGTAATTTTAATGAGCAACACTGGCACACAAGAGAACAGGCTTCTCAAGATGGCATTGATTCTGTCTTTTGATGTGCTTAATATATGTCTAACTGGACAAATTATATGTTTGGTAGGTAAGGCAGTTGTCATGAGCCACTGAAGTTTGCAGTCTCTGTGTTTTGTTATATTTGGTCTGGCAACAAGATCTTATGTCACATGCCTGAACATAGTATTTTTCTTGCTCTTGTTGCATTACTAACCACTAAACGTTTGATAGATAATACTAACAAATAAAGGAAGTGTAAAGCTCATATTTTTAGAGTAATTACTGACTGCAATCTTTGTGGCAGAAATCTGATAAATATGAAAAAGACGTTATGATGATCTATGAGAACATCCATTACCTCAAGCTTTATTATAGATTTTGTATTGTTTTTGTTTTAGACTTGTAAGAGAGACATGTCTGAACTAAAACCATCAAATCAGAAGTACTCATGAGTTGTTGTTTTTTTAAAGAACTGGAACTTATTAACTGCTCAACAATAAATTAAGCATTCAGTATTTTTTAACATTCATTATTTTAATTAGACAAATGAAGTACTTAGATGTTTTAGTAGCAGAAATTGACATTTTGATGATTTAAGTCATCAAAATAATGAAATCAAGTTTGCTAAAAAAAAAAGGACTTTACTCTTCTCAGCAACAAGAGTAAGAGTCACTGGATAGATGTGGTTTAATCTACTTAAAATTAAAGAGACTGCAAAATTCATGTTATTAACAGACAACTACTTTTTTTGTACCTAAAATTTTCTGTTTTATGAAAATTTTTAAATGTCTGCCATAATTTTGACTTAATTAAAAACTAAAAGGAAGTCTCTATCTGCATCTATCAGTGTGCTCGGGGGGGCCAAAATAAGCCCTGAGACCATGAATGCATTTTGGACACCTCTGTTGTTAGGGGCATTAGGCAAAACCTATACAAGTATGCTATTTGCTATGCAAGCACTTTCAAGTTCGGGGAATTTGGTATAAAGAAAAAGCACATAACCACCTTAAGCATGAAGCAAAACTATCAGGAAGGTTAAATTTAACTGCAAAAATATACATGTCATTAAGAACATATATGATTGTTAGAGGAACATTTATAAAGCATAGAGTATTATATTTCAATATAAATCTGTTAGAGTGAAGAAAAGGGAAAAGCATGACAAAATAAAATAAATTAAATTAAATCTTTAGTGGGATGCTCTGGAAGATGTTACACAATTTTAGCTGAAGGTTTAGCTAAATAAGCTAACGGTTCAGACTTGTTTGTAGTGTTACACATTCAATTTTGACTAATATTGTTAACATAGCTGTTTGATTTCTTTCTTTTTTTTCATTTTATTTCTTGTCAGAAAGAAACTTATAAAGATAATTCCTCATCTGTCTTACTTGAACTGCAGTTTCGCCCATGGTCTCATTTTGTTATCTATCTCAAGGAAACAGAAATTTATGGACTTCTAATTTTAAACACATCAACTTTAAAAATAATAATAGAAGGCATTAAAAGTACATACAAAATACTTATGGCTTCTAACTGTACATTTTATTTTAACATGAAGCTCCTATTTGAGCTTCTAAGAACGCACCTTCAGTGTTGGGGCTGAATTTGAAGGAGGCTGACAGAACCTGACCTGCCATCAAATTACTTCCTCCATGATCTAACATGCTGACAGTTTTATTGATGCCGTCAGAAAAGCAGCGCCTCTTGTTTTCCACTGGTTCCACACCTGGAAGGCAACAACAAACCTGAATGTTAACTCTGAGGCAATAAACACCGGTCCAACGCAAGATTAAAAATGAGGAACAACTGTCACACAACCCCTGGCACACACACCTGGGCCAACTTCCTGGTTGGCAGAAGGATCAAGTAGCTCAGTGGCACATTTAAAGCAAGATAAATCTTGTAAAGTAAAGTCAGTGCTGTAAATGCAGATCCATAAAACTTTATTTACATAAAACAAAGCAATACTTATGAACTTATATGAAACTCCAATAAAAACTGTTCCAAGTATTTCCTGATAGTCAAAAGAGAAGCTCAAGATCATTTCATATGCAAAAAGGCTGAATTGTTTGCACACAAGGTTACTGAAAAGCACACAGATGAAATTACTTTATGGTTAAAGGGTTTTTCTTAAGAAAATTGTTTCTAAACTAAATTAATAATTGTGGTGTATTAGCTTGCAAAGACAGGGCGGTGGACCTACCTGTATGGCTCAATCTCCCTCTGAATCAACAGTGCAGCACAAACAGCCAACTGGTTCAAACATGACAGTGTGAGAAGTGAAGTTTTATTGAGCTGTTGGGACAAACTCCTCCTCCCAGCCAGCCAGTCCTCCTGTAGCAGGGACTTCCCCTCCCACATGCAGGAGGAGCTCATCTGAACTGAACAATAAAACTCTGTTTTTAAGATGTTTGGAGTATGCGGAGATTCAGACATTTTTTGAAGGGTTGAAAATAAAATTTTAATAGAAATAAACATTGCAATTTTGTACAGATTTCTCTTTTACCTCCCTAATTTGTCTTACTTTTGGTATAGGTAAACTTTGAGAAGTATTGTCTTCCCCTTTTTAAGCAGTGGTAATAAGTAAGTCTAGTTGAGTGACTTACAGAACCCCTGTGTGTTCTTGCATTCACCTTTTTGCCGATTTTTCTGTGGAACAATAATTTGCTGAAAATTTGCATCATGGGAAGCTGAAACCCAAAGAACTGCATATTTTGTCATCCATCTGATGCCAATACTGTACAAGGCCAGTGTTGCTGATATAGATGTTTAATGATTTATGCTTGATATGTTATCAAGTCCCTAATATTTTTTCCTTCAAATTATTTTGTTAAAACTTAGTGACAGTTCTGACAAATGTGCCTGTGTCTAAAAATTACTTAACATGGTAAACTGAAACACAAATATGTGAATTTTTCCTAAATAAAGTGCAATAAAATATATACATTTGAAAGAATGAAGACAAAATCTTTTTGGAGTTGAGAAATTACAATACAAAATTAAAATAAAATCTCTACTTCACCAGTATCGATCCAATGCAAATACCGAATCAGTATTTATTTTACTGATATTTTGGATCAATTCACCCACAATTAGTGATAGATTGTTTCAAATGTTTGTATTAAAGCAAAATAAGGTAGATCTGGTGCTTGAAGTATTAAAATTATAAGCGTTTTAGAGAATTATGTATCAGTGGATAGCCATTTGTGGGCAGCTGTATAGTACCACATACAGATCAGCAAAGATCTACGTTCTGAGTGACATGTTTTCAAGTCTTTCCTATTTTGAACAGCAGTTGATGTATCTACTAACTGTGATCGAAGTAAGTTTGGTCAAGTAGCTTATGAATATCGACACACCCGTCATATTTAAACAGGTGTTTTCTTGTCTTTCCCAATTTGAATGTTCAATACAGTGTTGCTGACTGCAGATGTGGATAAGTCAACTAGTGCGTGGATATCATGTGTCTTATTTGAACAGTATGTTTGCTTCTCTTTTCCCCTAAAAGCTGTGGGCCGCTGTGTTTTGTTGTCCCAAAAATGAGAAAAAGGGTTTAATTTATGTTTTTTACTACAGCAAGAAAAGAAAGGTGAATTTGTTTGTCACACACACAAAAAACACTTTCAGTTTCTAATATCACAACAAACACCACAAACTCATCATTTAAAAGGACTTCACAGTTTTAATAAATTACAGCGTGAATTTACATTACTTAAAAACACACACACACACACACACACACACACACACACACACACACACACACACACACACACACACACAAAAACAACCCTTTGTTCTGGCACCAAGCAGAAGCACTGGCCCTTCATATAGTCACAGATCTGTACAGATGATGAGCAGAATGGGCAATGTGAGTACTGACATGTTCAACTCCTCAAACCTGAACCAAAGCAAAAGGAAGTCAGTCAGCATTGAGTCCAGGTTTTTACAGTAAAATATTTCCTCAAGCGTAGGTTTTTATTCAAATGACTGAATAAATCATCTTCTCACACTATCCTGCTGCTTTGCAGTTCAGATGTGTGGGTAGGGTTTGCATATTGTATGTTTTCACAGCATCTGATCTGAATATTTTCACTTCAAGGTTTCAGACTTGTGAAGCATTTCAGCTGTGAGATTTTATTTGACAGTTTTTGTAGTTTTGGAGTTAATACGAGTTTTATTGAATTTTTTTCCTGAGGTGTCTATCGTAAACGGAGCTTCATCTCTACTAAAAGCCTCAAGTTTATCAAAACTCTTCATTCCCTTTTGCTGCATACATTTAAACGTGTTGACACGCTGCTCGTACCAGACTAAAGAATTACTTAAAGTGCTCTAAAAAAACTCACTAGTGAACCAGAACAGAAAAAACAGCAAAACACAAAATGTCCAGGGTGAACAGTGACGTGACAATCCAAATTAGACCCCATACTTCAAGAACATTAGTTTTAATTAATTTCCACAATAAATAAGTCTAAAATTCATATTTACACTGTAGAAAAAACCCCTAGCTAAGTTAGTGTTCTTCATGCCAATATGGTCTAATCTGCTACAGATATACAAAGTAGAGTAAAAAACCGTTTTCTTTTCAGAGCTGTCTGGATTCTTTATTCTCCTGGAATGGCTTGGGAGCAAAGAGTGCAAGGAGGAGGAGTGGTGGCCGGGCGTTGGTTTCTGTTGTGCGCCTCTTCTGGGACTACAGGCGACCTGAAATCAGGTTGAGAAATGACAGAACAGGTTTCAGAGTCAACAGGGGATCATGTTTCAGCTTGAACACAGTTGGCTTTGCTTCAATGGGCATTGTTGGGTGATCAAACATTATCTTAGATGGAAAAAAAAAGACAAATGTTGACAAATGATTGACATCTTTTTCCAAATTAATCCTCAAAAATAACCGGCTTAAAGTGTGACTGTGACGCTGGCTCAGTGAAACACAGAACAGGTGATATTATCTGAAATTAAGACAGCTTCCTGCTTTGGAACTGATGTTTGTCATCAGGTTGATCATTTTAAGATTTTTAAAAGTTGTTTTTTAACTAAGAGAAATTTAGACTCGTTCCTTTTTTTCTTAAATAACCCCAAGTAAAAGAATTCTTCAATTTAATTAAAAAATACCATTGAGCCAAAAGGAAAACTCATATTATTTAAGCTTCTTTCTGTAGCAGTCTGTATTACAAAGATTCTGAATAAGCCTGACTGAAGACAGTCATGAAGAGTTTGTTCAGAACTGTTCTTTTCTTTTTTTAAAAACCAAACAGATAATTTCTTTTTTTCAACAATTAAATTATTTGTTAAAAAAATGCAATTGACAAGTTTTACTCTGTCAAAAGAAATGCTTATTTTTTATGCTTTAGTTTGTTTTCTGTTTTGTTTTTTGTTTTTGTTTTTTGGAAATTTTAAGTAATAGTATATCAAGTGATAATTCTTTTCTTTGTTTCACTACAATTAAGATTTAATTCAAAAGTTTAAAAAAAATCAAATTAAAAGTTACATTTGTATTATTATCTTTGTCTCCACATTATTATGTTGCAGTTGCAAATTCCAACAGACTGACTGACCTGTGAGGTATTTTGCCCCAACCAACATCAGCATGCTGCCAATGATATAGAATCCCAGCGGGATGCTGCTGAAGATACTCGTTCCACCTGTAAGTGAACAGGGAGAACCTGAGTCAATGGCTGCAGATGCAAACACATATTTACATCCTGATTCATTGTTTATTGGAGCAGTTTGTTCATCAGGGTGGTAGTTATATAGGAACAACTTCAGCTTTTCCTCAAAACAAGAACTAAAGTCCAAAAGCAGGTCTTTAAAGGGATCCACTGATTTTAACAGAGTTAAGGTCGGAGCTGGTTCTGCCTGGTTTCATGTGATGATTTTGGTCTGAGGCCAAAACGGAAACATTGGGAAGTAATTATCGAAGATGTTAGTCCAGATTGCTCTTCCTGTGTGTTCCAACCAGGTGAAATGTTTCAAGAGTTAACTAAACACATATTGGCTCATATTAGCAGCAGAGTGGTTAGCTTCAGCCCCTATAGCGTGCACAAACCGTCCTGCATGTTTCTGACAGCTGGAATGAAGGAATAAATTAGTTCAACAGCTTATCTTCAGCAGAAGCACATTAATAACTGACGCATGTTGGAGCAGGGAGCCGTCTCCAACCCGCATGACCAGATCTAGAAATGATGATCTAAGCAGATAATTTGGAAATACAGGGAGGGAAGTTTGGTGTGGCAAGTGGAAGCACTGGAACAACATTTGGTTAATTGCATCAAGCTACATGAATTATTGACTGAAAACATACAAATATTTGCACTCACGGCTCTCAGTCTCCACAGTATGTGTGGTCTCCCAGTTCATGGATCTCTTCACGGCTTCTTTCCACCTCGCATAGCGAAACTCGCTCTCTGCATCCCACAATCACAGCTGCATCAACCTGACCATGTCCAGCCACACAGATGTGGGATTTATCTGATGGTTTGGTTCTTTTTACCTTCCAGTTTGATCTGAGGGTCGAAACGCTCTGACGTGACGGTGCTCAGGTCCTCTGGCTCCAGGCTCCACACCCTCACGCCCTCGGCCGCGCCTGCCGCCATGGCTGCCCCCAGAGCCGTGGTCTCCGGCATGGACGGCTTCACTACCAGCAACACCACATTTACATTCACACAATCATTACACCATCACATTCTATCAAACAGGAAGCATCTTATACAAAAAAAATAAATAAATAAAAAATCACATTTTCTTGTTTTGCCCATTTTGGAGAGTTGGAAAATATAAATTGCTAACAGCATTACTGTTAATTCATTACTAACTAAGAAGATCTTTCTATGGAAAACTATGCATGTACAAATGTTTTCCAAAAGGTTCATAAATTCAGTAAATAAATATTTGAAAACTTTTGATTTGCTAGATTGTTTCTCGTTTCTGTTTTCTACTAAAGAAAAATCTAAGAAATGTTTCATAAATGGATTTATATTTGACTTTTTCATATCACACCCTTACTTTAGCATTTTACATAACAGACCCAAGTTGGTCCAGGTCCATCCAGCGTTGTTTCATGATTTTTAGAACTAACAGGTAAAGGTACGGTCCGAGTCGTTTTAGTTGAGTATTTTGCACTTCATGATGCAGAAGTATTTTAGATAAATATACATTTTTAAAATTGCCATCGGCCAAAATCGGAATCAGCAGGTCAGGCTTTATAAGGACTGATGATCGGCCAGAAAACTGCAATCTACCTGACGGTCTGGATACGTTTTTGGTTCTAATAAATATGGTCACAGTCTTTAAGTTAATTGAAGAAGCAGATTTTATCTTGTCCAATGATCATCTAAACCAGTGTTTCTCAACCTTTTTTGGGCCAGCGCCCCCTAGCCC